CGAGACTGGGCGGCCGGACAGGACGGAGCGAGCAGGCCCCTCTGGCGCCGAGACCCCCTCAGCGGGCCCTGGGCCCGCCCCTCCAGCAAGGGTGACCCTTGGCGCCGGCCACCTCCTTGGCGGCCGCCTTCAGGACAGCCTGCCTCCCGGGAGAGGTGCCGCAGCAGGGGCCTGGGCAGCCCTGGTGGGAGTCCAGCGGTGCTGACCAGCGGTGGGGCACCCTCCTCTCCGCTGGCCGGACCAAGACCAGAACCGGGCAGCCCAGGACAGCCGTAGGTTGCTGGGGCCGCAGAGTGGCCAGTCCAGGCGGTGGCCCTGCAGTGCTCCCCTCCGGGAGGTGTCGCTGTCCCAGGCCCTAGGGGTGGGCTGTGGGGTGCTGCAGCCCACTCTCCGCTGGAGGGTGGGGAGGGGGCCCGGGCGCCCAGGGCCTTAGCCTCTGACCCGGGGTCACCCACTTCACGGGGCTGGGGGTGGGCTCCTGGGCCGCTGCGAGTGCAGTGGGGGCCTGGAAGCAGCCAGGTCTGGGCGGAGCAGCAGGTGACCGGGTTCTGCTTGCAGTAAAGCCCCTTCGTGCCCGCCAGGGTCAGCCGTGTCCCCCCCAACCGCCCACACAGGGCTTTCGGCCCAAGGGAGGAGGAGAATGCCCACCCTGCACCCGAGGGAGCAGAACACCTGCTGCTCTATGGGGTGTCTGCGCAGGGGTTCAGACAAGGTGCAGCGCGGGGGTGGAGCTGACGCCCTGGAGGACCAGCGTCACGAGGGCCAGCGCGAGCCCATGGGGCGGCTGGACTCAGCTGGACCCAGGGGCCCTGCCGTGGCCTCTGCCTTCACCCCCGCTGGTGAAGGGCGGGCTGGTGGGGGACCCCACGTTTGCAGCCACTGCCTCTCTGGTCCTGATGCGTCCCCACACAGGTGAATAATAAAGACTCACTTCTGAACTGAGGTGTGCCGCGGGGCGGGGCCCCAGGGAAGAGCAGGCGTGTGGGGGCGGCAGGGGCCTGCCCTGCCCCAGGACAACCCCCCAGTTCAGCACATGGCCAGGCACCTTCGGTCTGCTGCCCAGGGGCAGAGCTGAACCCCAGAGAAGCAGGCAGGAAGGGCCCCCTCAGAAAGGCCCAGATGGGGGTGACTGGGCCACGGCCAGTGGATACTACCCAAGCGCCTAAGCGGGGTGCCGCCCACCGGGGAGGAGATTCAGTGGCCGCGCACCCCTAGGTGGGTGCGGGGTGGCCTGCAGCCCCTGACGATCTCCAAATGAGACGCCCTGCACTGGCCACCAAGGCCCCGCCATGGACTGGCCGAGTCCGCTAAGGACAGGAGGGAGCGGGCTGGACCCAACCGCTCTCGAGCCCTCCTGGGACAGCACTTGGCTCGCGCTGGGGGGGGGGGCTTTGCGCCCCAGCTCCTGCCCCTGGCCTGGCTTCCAGCCTGACGGGCTCTGGCGCCAGGCTGCCCCTCCCCACAGTGTGCACCCCCTTACCTCCTGCCTCCACAGGCCGTGGGGCGAGTTCCCGCCCCCGGAAGCCCTCCATTCTCGGGTGTTTTTTTCTGTTGGAACTGCCAAGACGTGGTCGGTTCCTTTTGCGAAGGACTGGGCAGCGGCCTGTGGGCACCGGCTTGACCGCCGCCCGCCTGGACTCGCCTCCCGCGGGTTCAGTGGCCCTGAGCGTGCTAGGCCCACAGAGGTCGCGGAGGGTCGTGGGGCCTCAGGGAAGCCTGGAGGCGCTTCTCTGGCTGGGGGGGGTCTCCCCAAAGGAGAGGGCACTGGGCACGCGCCACATGGCAGCCCAGCTCCTTTGCCAGACCCTGCCCACACGCAGCCTTCACTGGGGACAGTGGTCATGTCGCAGCCTCCTCCCCCCATCGGCGTGAGGCCTGGCAGTGACTTAGGTGGCCAAACGTGGACACTGCACGATCGGCGGGGTGGGGTGTGCAGGACAGCAGGCGACGGGCTCCAGGGGCGGGGTCCTCCGCCTCGGAGCCGGACGGGACGACCGCCGGCCTGCCCTCCAAGGCCCTTCTGGTTTCCGCAGGCGTGGCCAGGCCAGCTGGTGGGTGCCCCTTGTCCTGCAGCTCCTGTCCTGCTGTAGACCCTCGCGGAGGGTGTGGGGCTGCCCCACCCCTCCCTCTTCACAGGAGACCCCACGAAGTGGCGCTGCCCACTGTGACAGACACCAGGGACCTGACCCCCAACATCACTGCCGCAGGGACCGGCGCTCCCCAGCCTTGTGGTGCAGGTGCCAGGCAGAGGTGTGCCCAAGCAGGTGGGGTGCTGCCAAGAGAGGACACGCTCCTGGGGGCCCAGCCCCCCACCCTGCGAGCCACCCCAACACTGACACGTCACTGGGCATCCGAGGTGCCACCGTGGACGAGGGTCCCGGGCACAGGTCCCGCCGCGAGGCACGCCCGGGGCCGCACCCCTGCCTCGAGAGCCAGGCAGGGAGCACCCCTCCTTTCCCAGGAGCGGGGCACCCTCACTGCCTGCCACTCCCCGAGAGCGGGCGAGGCCGGGGGCCTGCAAGGAATAGAGCGTGACAGATGCCAGGAGCTAGGCTGGTCCCAAGATGTCGCCCCCCAGGGGGCCCTCCGGAAGGCCTGCGCCCGTCGGCTCGGCCCAGGCTGTGCCCCGACGTCCCGCCAGCGCCCCGCCAGGATTCGGGGCGCCCGGTCCTGGGGCTGCGGTGCGAAGCTGCCACATGCCGTCAGCGTGGCCCCTCATTTGGAGGGGGCAGGACCCCACACGCCCAGGGCCCGCGGGCCCCACATCCGCGCCGCGGGCGCTGAGCCTCTACTCCGGGGTGCTGGGGCAGTGGCCAGTCCGCGGCTGACCCTTGGGACGGAGAGAGCGGACGACCGAGGCCGTCGGAAGCCGCCACTGCCCCTCCCCGCCAGGGTCAAAGCGGAAGCTGCCGCGGGGCTGACCCGGCCCTGGGGTGCGGCCACCCGCGCCGGCCTTTGCAAAGGCCAGCCCGCGCACAAAGGGTTGGAGCAAAGATGCTCGACCTAAGGCCGGCTCCGCAGACCCGCGTCCGGATTGGTCATGCTGTCGGCCAATAGGAGAGAAAAGCTAGCATCTGTCATTTACATAAACCCCTCGCTGTCCTGCAGTGCGTGTGGCTGCTGTCCAATCGGCTTCGAGAGACTTGGAGCCTTCATTTGAATATGGGGACTTTAAATACTGTCGCGTGGGAGTGCGCCGTGCGCCAGGCTCCTGTGGGCAGGGGACTGGATAGGTCTTTGCCTTTCTCTGTCCCTTTGCGAGAACGTTTGTGCTTGTTGTGGGCGTCCCAGAGGGCCCCAAAGAGGTGGCGAGCTAGGTGCAGGCGCAACCGCAACAAGGGCCAAGTGGCCGAGATGCTGAGGCAGCTGCATCCTCACACAAGCAAATGCTCGTGACTGATATGTCAGCGCATCACGGGCAAGGCCTCCAGCAGACACAGAAGGCGTGTGCCTGCTGCCGCCCCACAGGCTGACCGAGCACAGGGTACCCCAGGGTGCCAAACGCAGCACCAAGAATACCAGCACTTCGTGCCCGCATCCGAACTCGCTAGGGCCACCCCACCCGCCATGCTCCCAAGGAGCGGGCGCCTGGTCTGGCGTGGCACGTGGTGGGGGCGGGTTGCAATTGCGACGAAGCCGAACTCCACTCTCCTGTGATGGCGTGATGGAAGCCCGCGGTCGTGTCCCGGTGGCTCCCCGGGGCCCTGAGCTCACAGGGACTCCGTTCACGTAGCTGCCACGTAAGAGCGGATCGGGTCAGGCCCGCCGCTGGGCACAAGCGGCTCTGCCCTAGCGTGCTGGGTACAGTTAAATGGTCTCCACTCAAAACACTCAGCCCCCACAGGCAAGGCGCTCTCGTGTCTGGGAACCGTACGTGCACCGCAACTCAACTCTAGGAAGAGGTGGAAACCTTTTATTGTGTTTCAGACGCGTCCGCTAACAAAGTCCTCGGTGACCTAACCCCCAGGACTGCAGGCCTAAGTGCCCTGGACCCCGGCGCTGGGAACCGCCCGGTGACCCACAGCCACTCAAGCCAAGGCCCTGGCCGCTCCATGCTGGGTGATGACCCACCCGCCAACGCTCTACCTCATAGCTCGAGTTGCATATGCGGTTTCTTTCTTGAAGGACATTTTGTTCTCCCAACGTTGCGCCATGACTTCAGTTCTAGCTGAGTCTTGAGTGCATTTCCAGTTGCTCCCTGCAAAATCCCTCCACAACCTACTTGAAGACTTCACCTTGTTATTTCACCAAGAACAGTCCCTCCACCCGGTTCCACCTCCCTGCGTTCTCACTTAGCACCAGCAGGCCATGGGCTTTGCGTCTCAAGCTGCTCCCTACACCATCTAGCAGGGGGGTGGAGGGCACAGTCTTCTGGGCCTGGGCAGCTGCCGGCCCCCGCCATGCTTGGAGCAGACGCCCTATTTACCCACGCTAACTCCCCTTGCCAGGAGTCTAAAGGCCTGAGAATTAAGCCACTGCTTTGTAACTTATTTGTGACAGGACCGCAGATGCAGCTAACACGTTTACTTCTTGAGCACAATTAGTTCTGTGCTGGAGACTTTGTCGTCTTCAACTTAGGTTTCAAGTTCACTGGAGAGTAGCATTCCTGAGACTTAATGTCAAGCGTTAAGACAAAGACTCAGGCTGCCGGCTCCAGAGGACGCGTTCCGAGGGTGATGAAGTACTCCTTGAAACCACCGGGCATGTCCATCTTTGTTGACACATCATTGCTCAGCTCTAGCTAGGAAGGCAAAAACAGCTGCCAACTCGCTTGTGTCTGAGAAAAACTGGTGTTTCCATTCCTGCCTGCAGCTGTTCTAGTTCTGCGAACTTGGTCTCGGCACCTGGGCCGGCACCCGCCGAGGCCCTGGACGCAGGTGGAACTGAGGCAAGGGGAGAGGGGCTGACCAGCACCCTGCTGACAGGTCTTACCAGAACCTTCCTTTGACAATGACCTATCAAAGCACACTCGTTTTAAACAATTGCGTGCTGTCCGGTGGCTTTTTCGAACACCGAGACGACTGGTGACGATCCCTCCCCCAGACCAAATCCAACGGTGTTTGGGAGGGAAAGGGGGGAGCGAAGCGCAGAGTTCCGACAGCAGGGAGAAATGCTGACGCGGCACTGCAGTGGGCTGGGCGCTCGGAACAGCCCAGTACAACCTGGCCCTAGCGAAGACATCGCTGAATGTATTCGAACTGATCTGGCATGAAACTGCGTTTCAGTAGATAGCATTAAGGGGCCCCCGTTTTGTTCCTGAGCACGCTGGGGTGTGCAGCCTTGCAAAAAACGTCTCAGATGCGAGTGCTCAGACAGACAACGGAACTGGGGTCCG